AAAGCCACCAAGAGTCGCCCTCCAGTAAGGCTCTGTGAAGGTCATAAACGCTGAAAAGGATGAAACGGTTTACTGTTTCTTGCCTCCCAAGATGTTTGGTCTCACGTGGCCTCGGGAATGCTTCGTAGAGCCACAAGACGACCCCAAAGAGTCATGAGAAGCCTCCAAGGTGGCCCCGAGTGATCCCCAAAACAGCCCAAGAATCCCCCGAGACGGCCAGGCGAGCGCTCTGGGAGAGCCACCAGACCAACCGGCCAGACGACGGCCCCACAACGGTTCTGACGACACTCTGCGGAAGGGCTCGGTGGATCACCCGTGCCCGGGAGGATCTCGAGACACGCAGCGAGGAGCGCGTGCCCGTGCCCGTTGTAGGCAGGGCGCGCGAGGCCCTGGCCTCGCAGAAGCTGCCACGCCCTGCGCACGGGACCCCAAAGAGGCCGCGCTCTGCTCGGGGGGCCTCAGGGAGAAGCTCCCAAGGAGTCGTCAAGAAGCCCTCCCAGAGGCACCGCTACCAAGACGCTGGGAACGCAACCACGGTCATATATCATCAATTACGGCCACGCCACGCTGCAGCATCCCAGCGCTGCTTCTCCCGCAGCCCCAAGGCTGCTTGGGCAAGCCAGTTCAGGGCAGCTCGGTGGAGCCGTCCTGCGTGCGCTTCGACGCTGCGCTGAGGCACGATGGCGGGACTGAACGCAGGCAGCTGAATATACTGCGTGGGCATGCACACATCATACGCGTGTGCAGTGACAAATCGCATACAGGTGTACATCGTCATGTGCGTACCAGTACTAAGAAGCTGAAACACACACAGACACACACACACGTACATATATACACACATACATACCTACATACATGCATACGTGCATACATGCATACATGCATACATGCATACATGCATACATGCATACATGCATGCATGCATACATGCAGACATGGATACATGCATACATACATACATACATGCATAAATGCATAGATATATGTATACGTATACATATACATATATATATATATACATACATACATACATACATACATACATGCATACATACATGCATGCATACATACATACAAGCATACATACATGCATGCATGCATGCATGCATGCATGCATGCATGCATGCATGCATATATGCATGCAGACATGCATGCGTGCATGCATGCATACATACATACATAGATGTATAGGTACATACACACATACATACATGCATACACACATACATGCATGCATACATACGTGCATGCATGCATGCACACATGCATACATACATATAGGCATACATGCATACATGCATGCATGCATACATACATGCTTACATACATGCATGCATACATACGTACATATATACATGCATACATACATACATACGTACGCATACATACATACATACATACATACATACATACATATATACATACATACATACATACATACATACATACATACATACATACATACATACATACGTACGTACGTACGTACGTACGTACATACATACATACATACATACATACATGCATGCATACATACAGACATACATGCATACATACATGCGTACATACACACACATACATACGTACGCACGCACGCACGCACGTACGTACGTACATACAGACAGACAGACATTGCTAGGTTCATCTATGGAACGTACAGGGGCCATGCGCCAGATATATACTTGTGTCACCTGCGTGTGTCACGTGCGCATGAGCCTACACATGTGAGAGAAGTATGCGTTGGCATCTACATTTTGCATGCCCGCACCGCCAATCCATTGAGGAAACACGATGCGACTGGTAAAGCTAATGCGTCGTAACAGTCACGGCGCGCGTGATGTGTTTGAGTCCAAGCCCATACTACAACCCAATAAACCTCCAAGATCGACCCATGTCACCCGAAGAGGCTCCCAAGAAGGCTCCAAGACGGCTTCCCGGCGATCCTCGAAGGCCCCAGAAACCAGAGCAACGGCCCAGGAAAGCCGCAGGACGGTGCCAAGAGGGCCCCAAAACGGGGCAAGAGGGCTCCCAAAGGCTGTCTGGACGGCCCACGCGGGGGACGATTCGGTCCAAACCGCCCAAGATTGCCTCCAGACAGCCCCATGGGCGTCCAAGACGTTTGCATACGCGACCACGAGGCGCTCCAAGCAGGCCTCCAGAAGCAAGAACCGTCCCATCCCCTAGGGAAAACATACACTTTCAGCATATTCGCTTCTTGGGCTTCCACGAGGCCCACAACGGCCCAGTAAACCTCCAAGATCGACCTCTGACACCCCAAGAGACTCTCCAAAAGGCTCCACGACGGCCTCTGGGCGCCCCACGAAGGCCCCAGAAACCATAGCAACGGCCCGGAGGAACGGCAGGACGGTCCTAAGAGGGCTCCAAAACGTGTCTAGAGGGGCCTCACAGGCTGCCTGGACAGGCCACGCGGGGGACGATTGCTGCCGCCCCAAGGGGTCGGCGGTGTGGCGTAAGCCAATGAATAATCGAACAAATAACATTGGCACGGGATCGACAACATGGGGTCAACGATCGACGAATAGTAACAGCCGCCACCGAGTCTCGAACACGCAGCGAAGTGCCCGAAAGGCCCCTACAGCTTCGAACAATACCCCAGATCTCGTAATAAACGGGAGGGGGTCTGGACCCTCCAAGACAAGCCATTTCAGACCTCCCCCGTGGGAGAACCCTCCAAAACATCGTCCCCAGACCCCCCAGGCCCTCCAAGATAGCCTGGAAGAGACCCCCCCCGAAATGAGACCCCCCTCCCTTTATTACGAAATCTGGAGTACAAGGACTGCAAAATCCTCGAAGAGCCCGGGCCCCCAGCTCGCCTGATTCTCGCCTTGCGTTCCTGGGGTGCCTCGCTCGAGCCTGCCGCGGCCCCGTTGCCTGAACAGCAGGATATTTGAGGTGTTTCTCACGATTTGGGCCGCAGAGGGTACTCCAGATTTCGTAATAAAAGGGAGGGGGTCTGGACCCTCCAAGACGACCCATTTCAGACCTCCCCGTGGGAGAACATCGTCCCCAGACCCCCCAGGCCCTCCAAGATAGCCTGGAAGAGACCCCCCCCCGAAATGAGACCCCCCTCCCTTTATTACGAAATCTGGAGTACACGCCAGGTGCCCAGGGCTCTTCCGCCTGAGACCCAAAAGCCCCCAGAAACCACCCGGAGGCCCCCCGGAGAGGCCCGCCCCGAGGCCCTCAGAGGCCCGCGGAGGCTCCCCAGAGAACCTGTGGAGGCCCCCGAAGCACGGTGGCAGGATGGGCTGGAGGCCACTGGATGTGCTGTGACACTTAGAGGACTGACCTGAACTGTGTCCAAGTGCCTGAATTGCTGAAATGCTCAAATCGGTGTTCTGGTCGGGGCCGGGCACGTCGCTCGAGTTGTTGAGGCAGGGCGGATGTGTCGTGTCGCAGGCCGAATCATCATTTCAGAATCGTTACCACAATCCAGGCCTCGGAACAAATTAGCGAACACATGCCACATTGATCCGTCAACGCCCCCCCCTCCCCCCAAATGTTCAAAGTTGGTGGTGGGTCTGATGAGATGCGCTTCGACCGCAGTCTCCCCCGCACGTGCCAACATTGAGTTTTTGTTGGGTGGAATGTTCAGTAATCGTTTCCCTCTACCGTCGCATGGAGCATTACATGTTTGGTGATTCTGGCGAATTCGCGATAGCAACAGATCTCTTGCACACAATCCATGTGCGTGCCCTCCCCCCACCAGCAAGAAGGACGTTGCCAGAAACGTGTGTCCTAATGTGTTATGATGTGTTCCAGACGTGTCCCCGTTGCTGCTGCGCTCGCTGCTGAGAAGTCTCAGCGATGAACATCTTAGAATATGAGTCAACGCCAAGACCCCACAACTTCTGACAGAGCTTGCCTGGGCGGAAATTCGGAGTGTGGGGAGGCAGAGACAGATGAGGGGAGAGAGAGAGAGAGAGAACGGGTTGAAAGAGTCCAAGAGGGTGGCGACCGAAAACGGAACGACAAAGAGAAAGAACTGTCTTCGTGCGAACCCGTGCACCAGACCCTCTACGTCGTTGTCTTTGTCGCAACATGATCCCCCAGACATCTGCACCAAGTCCCTGGGACCAGCTTTTCACCCCGAGCCGTTGTTGACGGTCCCAGGGCCCGGTGGGAGCCCCCAGAAACCCAACATGTCCAACAACCCTCCGTCGCGGTTTGTCCACGACGCGAGGCGGTCTGGAGCCTGCGTGTGCTACTCGACCGACGAGTCTCCCTCGCTGCCGCTGGGCATCGCGAGTGCAGCGCCGATGCGACGCCGCGCTTCTCGAGCCGCGCAGCGCGCTCCTCCGCAGTCAACGATCGACCCGGATTGCACCCCAAACCTCCAACGGTTCTGGAAGATCACAAAAGAAAGTGTTCATCATCTTCGCGTCTAGAGGCCGCCTTCTGGCCCCAGGGCCATCAAGAAACAATCTGCAGATCTGGACGAAAAGCGAGCCCTCGAGAAAAAGATCGGAACGTCCAGAGACTCCGTATCTGAGACATCGTGACCACAGACGCCACGCAACGCGTCACCGACAGCGAGCGAAATGCATGCTTGCTCACGCTTGCACGCGCGCGCGGACGAGGGTGTGCCAGTGCATGCGCGGGATAAAGCTCCTGCGAGAGGATCGCATGTCTTGAATTATCTCCCAGCATCCCCCACATCCCGACCCATCCCAGCCCCAACGCCTGCCCTGACAGCCCCGTCCCCCCCCCCTCCAGGTCGCCTCGTCACCCCAATCCTCCCCGTCCCTTCCCATACCCTCGGCACGTGCCCCTGTGACCCATCTGTCCTATCTCCTCCCCAGGAGTGGTGGGCTTGTTTTCCACTGCCACCACCAAAAGTAGGAGGGGGAGGTGGTCCTCCTCCTCCTCCTCCTCCTCCTCCTCCTCCTCCTCCTCCTCCTCCTCCTCCTCCTCCTCTTCCTCTTCCTCCACCTCCACCTCCTCCTCATCCTCATCCCCCACCTCCTTCCCCCCTCCGACTTATGATGGTGGTGGACAACAGGCCCATCAAGGAGGAGGGCACGTCTCGGCCGGCAAGTGTGGCAATAGCGCTGGAGCGTCATGTGCTGAAAGACTGGCAGCGCTCGCGCACGGCCATGCAGCCTGGCAGGGTGCGTGCAACACTCTCTGCTATCAGGGGGACGCCAACTACACGCCGACACCGATCCCGGCCTAGCCCGTCGTGGACCGAGAACGGCCCTGGCGATGATCGATGCAAGTGTACGGATGGCGTCCCATAATACAATGCTCAATTGTTTCGTGCATCATTCCAAATTCACCGCATCTGGCTCGGACCGAGTGATGCATCGTGAGTCCCAGCACTCGCATGCTGGCTGTCCTCAAGATTGTCTTCCGAATTACCCATCTACCCATCTGGGGAAAGAGACGTGCAGTGCCGTCCACAAAAGCAGCCCGCTGGCTACTGATTACGGTGCCGAACCGCGGACGTCGGAATTACAACCTTGAAAACAATGCCGGGCAAGCAGCAGGCCCTGGCGGCTCCAGACCGCTGGCTCACGCCCGCACAGCCCTAATCGCGAGCATCTCGTCATCGTAGGATCCCTCGAGGTAGCCAGGGCTGTCCCTCAGCCTCTGCAGCCCCTCTAACAGGAAGGCTTCTGCCTTCCTCAGCCCGTCCTCGTTTCCCCGCAGTTCTCTGAGAAGCACCTGCTCCCACGGGCTGCGCTCGCTGTTGAGAGAGCTCGCCTCGTACAGCGCAACGGCACCGTCTGGCATGTCTAGCACACCGAAAGGCTGCGCAATCGGCATGCCATACGCTTTCTGCGAGAACAGACTCGACGCTGCCACGGGTACCCTCAGACACCCTCGACCTGCAACTGCCAGCATCTTCTTGGCGCTTGTGGTGCCCAGGGTCACCTCGCGTACCTGCAGGGGCGCGCTGACCCTGGCCGGCAGCAAGACGTGGCTCCCAGCTTTCAACGTCACCATGGCTTCGACGCTCCTCCTCTCCTCCCGCTCCGCATCGTCGTTCTGGACTGCGACGTTGCCCGCCGCATCCTCGTCCTCAGCCACTGCGGGGCGCCATCCCTCCACGACGCCAGAGACAACCGTCGGCACGGTCTTGGAGGACCTGAGTTTGCCAGGATATATTTTGCTCGGGGGTTAAGTGAACGACCCATACCAATCGCGTACTTTTACACGCTTAAGATGGAAAGTCATGCATGCAACGAACACAGTTACATGTTACGATTTGCAGAGTCGATTCCCGGTGGACGCGAGAAGAGCGGCCAGGATGACGCACGCGCTCGTGGTTGCCAGCAGGGCCAGCAGGCAGACCACGAGGACCGCCAGGACACCCGGCAGCAAGTCCGCAGAGGGCCTGGCGAAGTAGGAATGGGAGAGCTCGTACTGCGAGGCCCCCAGCGCCTGACTACATACCAGACCACCCCCACCCAACCCGAAGACCCGAATTTCGGGTTAGGGGGGGGAAAGGGTTCATTTGTGCTTTTCCATGTTCCCCGACGAATGTAGGGCAAGTTGGGGCCTTCGGATTGGGTTGGGGTGGCTTGGTGGGTGGTGAGCGCCACGATCGAGAGCGAGATCAAGAGCGCAGCATTGTCCGAGGCGCTCGCGCAGGGCCTGCACCTCAGCACCAGGAGGCCGCAACCGACCGAGCAGGCGGCCACGCCGAGGTGGAGGAGCACCCACCATCGCGAGCTCCCGATGACACGCAGCGCGGCCAAGTACAGGCCCAGGAGGACCTTTAGGCAACCCCGTACCCATGCAGGTCATATTCCTGAAACGCCGGCTGGGGCTCAGACTTCGAAGGATGGTCTGCAGCCAAGTCCCAGCGGGGGTGTCCGATACCCCAGCGTCGATTGGACCCGCAGGTGCAGTGGGGAAACCAAAAGGTACCAGTACCGCTACTCACCGGACCTCTCCAGGGGTGCGTTCTGACCAGAATTGCGACGCGAATCCAGCGTTGGCGACGAGGGCTTCCAACCCACGAGGCCTGACAAGGCAAAAAGGAGGCAAGGGTAGCGGTATCAGTACCTGTTCCTCCTCACAGGTAGGGTTCCTAGACATCCGGCCGCTCCAATTTGTTCGATGCGTTGGCCCCAGAGGTCTGGACCACTTCCCTAGGGCTGGTTGTTCGTCCTGAATCGTCTTTGGACAGTCCCGCGGCCTGGCGAGGGCCCCCGGAGGCCGAAAGTGGCCAAAAACCCGCCGCTCCATTTTTTTCGGAGCGTCGGATCTCAGGGCTCGAAATTGGTCGTAGGACCTTCGCACCCATGTCTGCCGGCCAGAATTCTGGGCACTGGTAGCACCAGTCGAACAGCGCCCCGAGCCGGCCGCAAGTCCTCGGGCCGCACATCTGCGCCGGGCACACGCGCAGCTCCACCTGCTCCAGGTCTGCCTCCAGCTGGGGCAGCACATCCGCGGGCACCGCGGCCTTCAGGGCGACGGAGTCTATATATATATATATATATATATATATTATGTATACATATGTACACATACATACATACATATACACATACATATACATATGTGTATGCATATATATAAATATATATGCATATACATATACATTCACCTATACATATACATAAACATGTACAAGTACATAGCCATATATATGTATATACATATGCAGATGCATATGCGTATACACAAACATAGACATATGCATATACATATACATACACATTTTTATATATATATATATATATATACATAGGCATAGGCATGCGCATGTACATATCCATATGCATATATAAACATATATATATATATATACACATATACATATGTATACACATACATATACATACACCTATATATATATACGTAGGTGTACATATACATCTACATGTGCAAATGCATGGACATATACATATATATAGACGTATGCATATATGTAAATACAAGTGTATACATATATATATATATATACGTATATATACGCTATGCACATACATATACATATGCATATGCATATGCATATACGTATGCGTATGCCTATCCATATACGTATACATATGAAAATGCATACACATATACATATATATAAATAGCAAATACGAATCCATGTACATATACATAAACATAGACAAATACATACACGTTTACGTGTATGTATATATATATATATATATACATTTGCATACACATATACATATGCATGTAAATACACATAACCATATACATAAACACATACATATATGTATGTATTTATATGTGTATGTTAGCGAAAAAAACAATCAAGGTCTGTTTAGGGCCATAGGGCTATGGGGTTATTGGGGTATAGGGCCATGGAGCTATGGAGCTATAGGGCTATAGGGCAATTGGGCTATTGGGATATAGGGCCATAGGGCTACAGGGCTGTAGGGCTGTAGGGCTTTCGGGCTATGGGGCTCTGGGGCTATGGGGATATAGGGCTGTAGGGCCATAGGGCTATGAGTGTCGGCTATGGGGCTATAGGGCTATAGGACCATAGGGCTATAGGGTTATAGGGATATAGGGCCATGGGGTTATGGGACTATAGGGCTATAGACATATGGAGCTATAGGACTATAGGCGTATAGTGCTATAGGGCTATAGGGCTACAAGCCTATAAGGCTATAGGGCTACAGGGCTATAGGGATATAGGGATATAGGGATATAGGGCTATTGGGCGATTGGGCTATTGGGCTACAGGGCTATGGCGCTATTGGGCTATTGGGCTAGGGCACCCGGGTATCCGCTGCTCCCTGGCCAAGCCCATCCTGAGCCCAGCAGCAGTGTACACGCCACGCCCTCCTGGCTTGGCAAGGAGGGCGCATACGCAGCCCCTGGGGCACCGCGGGCAGCAGAGCCGCGGCCACCGCGGCCTTGCGAGAGCAGACGCGGGATGCAGCGGGCTCCTGTCGTGTCGACCCCCGGCGCTGGCGTCCGACAACGCGGGGATCCTTCAGCCTTGAACGATCGGCCGTCTCCGAACCGTCCGATCGTTATAAAAGTCGACCGATTCTGGGTAGCCAGCGGCGTTCAGCCTTGAACGCCGGCGGCGGGGCCGCCGGCGGCGGGTCCGCTCGGTGCTGCTTGGGCTCCCGCCCCCATCCGTCCACCTTCCATTCTGCCGCCAACTGGCACGGGAGGAGGCCGAGGAACCCCCTCCATGCGGTCCCTGCCCGAGAAACCCAGGTCACACTGGAGGCAAGCAGGGTGTTTCCTGGCCTGAGTCCCCCCTGTATCACCAGCCTGGAACATATCCCTATCCCTATGCTGGGCACCTCCTCATCACGATGCCAATCTTAGGGGTTCCTTTACTTTTTTGAGGGCGAATCCCTAAGATTGTCATCGCCTTTTGGCGTGTCAATCTTAGGGATAGGGATACGTTCGAGGCTGGTAACTGTAGTGAAAACGACCCAGGACCAGATGCAGCGGGCGCAGGCAACCTCCCGAGAGCCGAGAAAGAAAAGGGCCAAAGGCTGCGGCCGCGGGCCACAGGTCGAGAGCAGACAAAAGAAAGAGGCACCACGCGCCCAACGCCCCGAGGCAGGGTCGGGGGCGCAAGAGCTGCGGCCGCGGGCAACCTCTCGGGAGCAAACAGAGAGAAAGCAGGGCAGGCAAGTCTGAAAGGGGCCCTGGGGCACACAAACAAATACACACACACAACCAACACAGGATTTCCCATCTATTTTCCCATGTCTTCTGGCTCTTTGTCCCCCCCCCACAATTCCCATGTTTTCCCAGATCTTCTGGGGAATCGACGATTCATTTTGTGTCTCTGTGTGCTCTTGTTCCCTCCTGCAGTGCGCCGAGCGCCCCGGCCGGGTGGCGGGGAGGCAAAGCGCTGCGGCCGCAGGCGGCCCCCATAGGGCCGGCCAGGGAGGGCGGTGCGCCGAGTGCCCGGGCAGGGAGGGGGCCTCCTCCGCCGGTGCCCCCCCAGTGGTGGGCCTGCTTTCCACCGCCACCACCACAGGTGGGCGGGAAAGGAGGTCCTCCTCCCCTCCCTCCTCCTCCTCCTCCTCCTCCTCCCCCCCCCCATCTACTCCTCCTCCTCGCCCCCTCCTCCTCCTCCTCCTCTTCCACCTCCTCCTCCTCCTCCACCTCCTCCACCTCCTCCTCCACCTCCTCCTCCACCTCCTTCCCCCCTCCAACTTGTGGTGGTGGCGGTGGCGGAAAGAACGCCCATCACCCCAGCTCTTGGACTCTTGGCCCCATGCGCGGCCTGGAGCCAGGGCAGGCCAACGACTCCCGCGAGGCGGGGCCCGCGGCGCCCGCCCAGGAAGACGAACCTGGTCGTCACGCGGATCGGGTGCGCGAACATCGCCGGGACGCTCTGCGGGGAGAGCGGCGCCCGCGCGCGCTGGGCCAGCGCCGCGGCGCCCGCGGGCTTCCCGTCGGCCTCGCCGCCGTCGTCGCTGGCGAGGGCGCAGAAGTTCAGGTCCGTGTTCGCGCGCATCAGCGGGCCCACGCTCGACCCGCGGCCGGTCGAGCCCTCTCGGCATCGGGCAAGAGCGCGTGCACTCGTCAGCGTTCGGAGGTCCGCGCGGACCTCGTGCATCGGCAGAACCCCTCCCCTGGCGGGGCCCAGCGCTGCTGGGCACGAGAGGCCCGCACGGACCTCCAGAGGCTGTGCCTGTGCCGTGCTTTGTTCTCCGGGAGTCCTTGCTCGACCTCCGGCCCGTGGCGGTGGTCTTGCTCGACCTCCGGGCGTCCTGGCCGCAGAAGGCTTCCACACAGCACCAGTGACTGGCCAGGGCAGGGCCATCCTTGGGCAAATCAAAAGGTACCGACACAGCTGCTCCCCAGACCTCTCCCGGAATGCGCTTTGACCAGAACTTCGAAGCGAATCCAGCGGTGGCGACGAGGGCCTCCCAGGAGGCCGAAAAAGGGGAAAACAGGAGGCCGAAAAAGGGGAAAACGGGCGAGGGGTACGGGTACCTTTTGCTCCTCTGAATCCTGGGCCCAAGGATGGTGGCCCTGGCCCTGCGCGGTGGTGCGTAAGTTCCTTCTGCGGGTCCTCCTCCGCCCCGACGTGGCCGAGGTCGTCGCCAAGGTCGCGGGTCGTCGCGAAGGCCTTGCCCGCGCGGCCCCACACGGAGACGCTGCCCCGGGTGTGGTGCGAGATGTCCTGACGGGTTCCAACTCAAAAGCACTCTGGTTGATCGATTTGCCTCGATCTCAGCTGGGAGCCGTTTTGGGGGGGCGGCCACGGGACTATATTAGACACTGACCCAGGATGAAATGTGCTGCCCCCGGGGCGGGGACCCTGGAGAGGGTCAAGGGAGCTGGTCTTGAGCGGATTTTTTCAGTCGGGGGCAGAGCGAGGGGGGAGGGCTTCATAAGGCAGGGGGGCTTCTCAGAGGGCCTCCTTGGAGAGCCTCACTCCCCCAACCTTGCCTCGTTTTGCGCGCCGCCAGGAGGAGGAGTGCACTCGCACCTTCCCCCCAGCAAGAGGGAACGGGGAGGCGCAGGAGGGAGGGGACGAGAAAGGGCTGGAGCGGACGTAAAACGAAAACAAAACAAAACAAATCAAAAGCGCGCGGGCATAAAATCTCGACACCGGCGCTGTTCGCAGAGGCGACAGCGGGGACCGCTCCAGGGCCCCAGAACTGGCCAGAATCGGCACGCCCTCCCAACGCGACGACCACAGCATCCCCAGCACGAGGAAAGGCGAGCGATGCTTCTCAAAGGCCTCCTACAATGGGGTCGGAGTAGATGGGGGTCAGAAAATCGCGCCGCATCGCCGATACACCGGCGATGCATCGGCGATGCACCGGCCAAGCACAGGCGATGCATCGGCGGAGTCGGCGCTGCATCCGCGACGTCGACGGGAAGCAGCTCGTGCTCCGCACCGAGCCGCATCGGCGGTGCACCGGGTATGCGGTGCGATCCACCCGACCCCGTCTGCTCCGAGCCGAGCTGGCAGGCCTGGAACTTCGGCCACCGCCCGCGTGAGCAGAACCTGTCGGGGGCCCCGCGCGGGACCTCCTGGGTCGGCGCTGGCCCCCGCTCTCGCGGCGAGCGGCGTGCGCACAGGGTGGCGTCCTGGACCCCGCGCCACGACGGGAGGTCCGGCGCCAAGCCCGAAGACCTGCGCGGACCTCGCAGAGTTGATGCTCGTGGTGCTGTCGAGCCCTTTCGGCGGCGACCCATGGGAGCCTCCCGTACCATCTTGTCCGATCCTGCGAATCGACGCGAATCGACGCCAAATCAACGCCAATCGACGCTAAATCCACGCTGATCGACGCTGACCGACGCTAAATCGGCGCTATCTCATCGACTCCCAGACGCTAATCGACGCCGATCTAAGCTAAAGACGGAATTAAGAGGGCATACCAGGCTTCCATGATTTGCTGCCAGAAGCTCTCATGCCTGAAGAGATGCTTACTGACCAACGCACAACACACACTCAAGCCTATAGGAAGGAGGAATTGGGCAAGGGCAAGGCGATGAAGGCGCCATAGGTATAGGTACGAGTTGTCAGACCCCGAGGGGGGTTCCCGTTCGAGCGGGGACCCCCATCCGACAACACGCACCCATAGCCCCCCAGAAGTCCACCACAGGAATTCTGGGGGAAGTATAAGTATGGGTGTGAGTTGTCAGCTCGGGACTTACTGATGATCCCCGCTCCCACTGGCCAGCGTTGGATATTTCTAGTCAAGTGCCTCCCCAACGCTCGCCCCCTGCATTTTTCCATCACAGAAAGCATTGGGCCTCTGACGGCGCTGTTGGCCC